CACACACACACACACACACACACACACACACACACACACACACACACGCACACACACGCACACACACACACACACACACACCACAGAGGGTTGATTTCAGCATAGAGAAATGTGCTGACCTGCACTAAGCAGGAGCCAAGGGCAACAAAACACTAAATACAAACGCTCCACTCTGAGCCGGGTACTTTCCCTTCGCTGCTCACACACGTTCAGACAGTATTCCTGCCTGCCTCTGTGTGTACGTCTACGTCTGTGTGAATGAAGAGAGGAACAAAACACCCAACCTTATGCTTCTTTAACTTTTCTTTTCCCGTCTCTCGCAATCTCGCTCGCATCGATGGACTCAGACCAGTTTCTTACTCATGCCTGAATAACCCCTCACCGGCTCTGGGCAAGTTGATCCCAGATGTGATTGTAACAGAGGTTTAATGAGACACTTAGCTCCCTGCATCATTGGGAAATCCCCATGTCTCCCTTCCCCCTATGATCTCCGATTTTCATCCCAACAGAGGGACCATATACAGTCTTTTTGTTCCTGTCCTCTTTGCCTTTATTATAAATATTTGGACTTTTATGGTTGACCACTGATCTTGTTGCAAACCAAAGCAAACTGAGCTGGGATAAGCAGAAAGTGAGCTGTTTCATGGTGTCTCAGTCGCACATTTAGCGTAGCAGAAGATAGTGTCTAAAGTAAATCCTTACTATAATCTTTCTCAAAACAATTTAGTAATCATATTTTGATCACGTCTTATGTTTACCTTGCATTTCTTGTTTGTTTTCCTAATTGATATTACGCAACAGCTGTTCAATCTGGAGCCAGTTCATGAAAAGCGTGTATGTTTGCAACTCAAAACACCTGGTGTGTGTTAGCGCGACACTGGCAAAGCTCTAGCCATCAAGCAGCGACTCTCTTTTTGTAATAGAGAGTAACTTGATGGACCGGATGGGCCTTTTACACATGTTGATTTAATTAATTGAGCTTCCTATCATCTCTGACGACCTGTCAGCTTACCCTATCTTGTTGTGCACATAACTCGCGATTGCTAACACATGTAGCTGGCGTGAAAGCTAGCATCAGCAGAGTTGTTGAATAATATGGAATGTTCGGCCAAAATGACCTGCTAGCGATTTAGCTAGCTAACAGCCTCAGAACAATAGTTAAATAGGTGGAATGTAAATTGAGGGTGTGGTGATTGAAAACTATGTCATCAGCCAGTCACATCAGTGCTCTCATCGTTCTGAAACAGCAGAGCCAATCACGGGGAAGCATGACAACAGAGTCTTAAAGGAACACAAAATGACCATTTGTACATCAATTACTCACCTCGTGTCACTTGAAGGAAACTTTGGTTTTCTTGAACGCATCCGCGGTGAACGAAGGATCCAAAAAGAGTGAAAGGTCTTGATGAATTAAAGTATATGAAGTCTCATTATGCTCACTAATTCCCAAACCCATTGAGTTTCGCTAAAAGATTCAAATTTAAAAACACCTCGCAGTCTCACGCCTGAGCAAGCGTGAGACGGTTTCTGTGTAAACATTTTAAATAGTCAAGTTTTAGTGAAGAAGCATGTTTTTGTGAAGTAGTGAGCATACGACTGGATAATTAGACTTGTATTATACGGCACAAGTTGTGTGAGAGTTTGTAAACCTATTTTTTTTTAAATATAGTTTTGCTGTTAAATGAAGCCCCATTTACTTCAATTTATCAAAACGTTCACCATGGAGGCATGCGAGAAAAACAAAGTTTTATTTAAGAATTCAAGGTAAAACGGGGTGAGTAGTCATTTTAATGGTGAAGCATTCCTTTAAAAAAGGGAAAGATGCTGCTTCAGGAAATCATATCGTTGTCTGGATGGTGCCGAATGGCACAACACAGCACCACCAATCTGCTGCCAGAGGCAGATGGTGTGGCTTTTTGTTTAAACAAATAATATAACGCTGATGAAACCATTTATATGACTGCATCAATCAGTCATAACACTACTCATACTACTCTCGTGACACCAACCGTTTGCAGAAGACACCATGAATCACCAATTTTGCAAAAAAGTGACAGAAGTCAGAAAAAAAGAAAAAAAAAAAAAAAAAAAGAGGCAATGACACAAGACCGATGAGCCGCCGTTTTGCTCCCTACCTTGTGCCAGCAGGTGCAGTGTGTGTGGCAGGGTTGGCAGGCGGATGGAGGCAGGCAGGTGGCGCTGGCAGCGGGCGGGGAGCAGGCAGCGGGGGCCGATGAGGCCAGTGGCAGGGACCCGGTCTGATGGTGATAGTGGTGATGTGGCTGAGAGGGACGATCCCCAACAGAGCCTGCTGCTTGAGCCTCTCCTCCTCCTCCTCCTCCTCCTCCTCCCGTGCTCACCTGCAACAACCAACATGTGCAGTAAGATGTTAAATGGCAAACACAGCCAGCGTAAGATGTGTCATCTCATTTTCTACTTATCTGAAATCTTTTTTATCGCGGGTGATAAAAAGGTATTTTGCTGTCCTGTAACCCCACTTGTTAAACTGGGGAAATGCAGCGTAGTGATAGGTGACAGGAGCATGGACTCATCACTTAAAGCTTGGGTAGGACAAACCAGCAAGAGCACATTTTAAAAAAATCCTCGAACTCTTGTGTTGCCAAGTCTTTTCCATTAAAAGTAGCATCTCTAGCTCCAAAAGTTGCTAATCTAGCAAGAAAGTCGCCAAGACGGCAACACTGACCGTCTTCCTTCAGGCCACAGACACTCCTCCAAAATGATCATAATAAATGTAAACAATGAACATGTCTATTGTTAGCACTCACAGCTGTAAAGCGAGCAGCTTGGGAGGAGTGTGAAGAGGAAGCAGGCAGGTAGGTCAGGCAGGTCAATTTATTTGAATCTATTGATTGCTGTCTGGATGTAATGAGAGTTTAAACAAATACATTTACAACCCACCCCAGCTTTCACCTTAAAAGAAACAAATTTGTTGCTGAAAATCCTATTTGTGTATGAATGGAACATCCCTGACTGCCTTTGTTTCTCCAGTGCCTCTGTCATTACACTATGTTAGGAACAATCCACCATCTCTTCCCAAAGCTCCTCAAAGTTCTCCATTTTCCACGCCCATACGCGTGGGCGTAGAAAATGTTGGATGTGCATGGACAGGCGAAAACATGCAGCATGGAACCCCCGCCAAGGGCCGTGTGTGATGGTGTTATGTCGCTTTGGCCGTGTGGACTCTTGCTTTACAGTGCTAACAGTGCAAACAAACGGCAAACTGGCGCCCGCAACGCCATCGGTCGGGGGCGGCATTATCAGCTGTTACCGCCGTATGAGAGCAGTGCAGAGCTACGGTCATGAGATAACCAGTCGGGCACGCTCACATGCACTAAAATCACACCAGACCAGCCCGGCTATGTCAACAAAGCACAGAGGAGCTCGGATAAAAACACACCCAGAGAGGGAGGCACTTCATTCTCTGCGCAGTTACACATTACTCCGCTCTATCTTTACGTAGCAAATAGTTGTTTGAGGCTATTTTAAGACTCCGAGTATCATATAGAGAACCCATAAGTATGTTTTTTTGAACTATAAAAAGGAAAATGGTTATTTTGGCCATGCAACTTGCTTTGTTCTGAGTGACACATGACTGAGGTCTGTTGTGTCAACTGGCAGCCTGTCATTGACTACGTCTCACCTGTAATTTTGGTGTGTAGTTAACATGTCAGTGTGCTGTAACGTATTTCCTCTGCCAGGGCTCAGAAAAGCCTGAAAATACCCCGTGTTTCACCTGCTACAAGCTACTTTTCCTTTCCTCTGAGCGAGTGAAAAACACTCACCTGTGGCCCCGGGGCCTGATGGATGGGCGGACATGGTGATAACTCAAGAAGCATCCCAGCAATGGTTGACAACGCCCAGTGCTCTGAATTTACGGGACTGTCGTATCCCGGAGCGGACACCTTGTCAGAGAGATGAGGATTCACGGCAGAGGAACGTCCTGCAGCATGTTCGCCATGAGGTCATCTCGCCTGCTTTATGAGCTCTTTCATGTCACCTTTTTGTTCCCACAGTGGGTAACCGCATGTTCTCAGTCAGCCGTGGAGTGGAACTTTCACTACCTGTTGTTTTTTTGTTTATGTCATTCACACCCAAGAGACTTTACGGGACCGTTTTTGGAGCCAGTACATGTGTACAGGTTTTTTAACATGTTGAGACTTTTTAATCACCTTATACAGACCGTGTCCGTAAACAAATGTGTCGGCAACTGATTGGGACAATCTATACAAGTTAAATGCATCAGATCTAAATGTTGAAAAAGTGGCACTTATTCCTAACAAATAGACTTGGCATCCAAGTATTTTCTACACTTCACTCTACTAGAATAAATACATTATTTAAATTATTCCAAGCACATTTTTTTCCCTTGAAAGTGACTGAATAGGGGTTCTTTTTTTTCAATGATTTTTCTATTACCCCTGCTCCTGATAACCGTGTGCACTTCCTGGAGGCTTTTCCCTTGGAGCGTCCCTCTCACCTGCAGGATGTCCTGGATCTGGCCGAGCTGCTGCCTCAGCACCTGCTTCTGGTGGAAGCTGAAGGCCGGGTGGTGAGAGGCCATGGTGAAAAGCAACAGGAACTGCTCCTCGGTCCTCCCGTCGTTCAACGCCAAGCCGTAGTTATTGATCACCGTGTCTATGTGAGTCAGGGTCCGGTACAGGACCCCCGCCGCCTCCCGGTTATCCGCGCCGAGCAGGGCGAGGGACACCAGTAGCTTGCTGCGCACCACCTCGTCCGTGATGTTGGTGAGACCCGACAGGTCGGCGGGGTTGTTGGCTTTGATCTCCGCATCCCGGAGGGAATGGTAGTCCTTGCGGGCCAAGTCCTCCAGGCAGGAGCCGAGGAAGCGGAGCTCGATGGGGACGCAGAGGTCCAGGAGGCCGCACAGGAACTCGGCTCTCTGGGCGGAGGTGAGGGAGGAGAACCAGCGGTACACCCCCTCCCTCTGGACGCTGCTCCGGCTCTCCACCATCCTCACACATCCACTCCCAATGGAACTCGAGCTGAGGGTTTTGAAAAATGCGTGCAATTGAAACGGCAGACTTTCAACGGAGAGTAAACTTCACAACAAAGGGAGCGCGCGTGTATGCCTGCGTGCGCGCGCGCGTAATTGCGCTGGAGCGCTACTCTCGAGTTGGCCAAGTCGAGAGCTAACTTGTCAACTTTCACCAACTAGCGACTGACGCCGTGTTCCGTTTCCGCGGCGGTCACAGCGCTGAAGTGAGAGATGCTACAGGTATTTCCTTTGTTGGAGAACCAGCGGCGACGGAGCGGCAGGCCTTTTCCGAACCATAATCTCCCCAAATATGAATCCAAAGTGGTCTGGCTTTGTGTTCAGCCCGCAGCCCCAGCAGCCAGGAGTCCCTCTCCGCCGGTCGGACCGCTGCCCCCCGCCCTACTCCCCCGACGGTACTTTTTGCAGGATGGCAGAGCGGATCAAAACACACCGCCCCATTCAAGGAGACGCTCACGGAGAGACTTTGTGACCGGAGCCGCCCCGCTCTGCTGTCCCACACGGCACAACAATCCCTTCCTGTAAACGTTGCTCCTCCGTCCTCATGGTTTTCCTCAAATGTGCGCGAGGAGCAGTCGGCTGAACCGCTAACAAGTTTATGCTAGGTTTAAGTTTAAAAACAGAACTAGTGTGGCATGAAACTGCTGCTGCTGCCGTTGAAAAATAATATTAAAACATTTCCGAGACATTACGTTAACAACCGCTGCTGTGGAGAAAACTAAAAAACTCAAAACGACTGTTCGGGGGTCCGTGAATGAATTTAGTGCAACATGTTGTTCTGCGCTCCCTGCATTCTGTCATGGTCTCGAAATCCAGGAAAAAAACAGCTGTGTATAACATTAACATTAGCAGCGAGACCAGCCCACCTTACCGAAATGTCTTCTCTGATTGGCTGCGAGACCAGTCTGCACGTGAGGCCTCTCTCGTGATTGGCTCAGAGGGATATCCGCTGCCTTGCTATAGCACATCTTTTTCTCATGCGCTCATACATATCTCAGCTTTATTACTGGAGCTTTAAAGTACCAGACAGGCCTACACGTTAAACTGATGCTATGTAATCTATTTAGTATGAAAGCTATGGTATACACCCAACCACTTTCAGTTATTACTTTTAGGTTTGTTACTTTTTGAGTTTTAGAGGGAAATATGAAAAGTCTTATTAGAAAGTACCAGGACGTTTACCACTGACTCTTAAAATTACAAACATATAAATACACAAAATTTAAGAACTAGTATTATTACCAGAGTTGTCGTTAATAAGTAGCTGAGTATCAAAGGGTATAACATAATTCTGTTGAAATATAGTTTTGCCAAGAGGATGGAAGTCCGGCTGGTAAGTCACAAAAGCCCCTGTAATGATTCAAATACTCTATGTCTTGGGTGGCAGCAGCAATGATTCATACCAGTTAAATAGTATCTTTATAGTTCACTCCTCTGTGCGAATCAAGGGACCCTGGGTGCTGTTGTGTAATTCACATCGAGGACCAGAAGATGGCAGCAGATGTCCGTGTTGAAACCTGATGCAGCAGGACACTTGCTGATGGGTGTGGTGTTGCATCCATCGGGACACCTGACCATGCTTCGTCACAGATGATGGAAACATCCCCCTCAAAAGATGTTTAAATGTTGAATAAACGCAGAAGTACTTGTTCCATCCACGTCTTACCCCTCGTTTCCCCTCATCCGCCCTTCTCTAGTTTCTCCTGTCCCCCCATCCTCACTCTTATTGAGAACATTGGTCTCGAGAGGTAAACCCCGCCCCCCCTCCCGACACAGACCACGCCCCTCCACTGACGGAGGAAAATTCAGTTAAGGTTGCTATAGTAACCGAACCCCTCCCTCTTAACCAGCCCCGTGCCACTCCCTCTCTGCATCAGGGATGCTGCCTGATACACACACACACACACACACACACAAACTAACTGTAAAGACACAACACAGCAACACGAAGAAAGATTTTAAAAAACACAAGAGCCAAGAGTCACTTTCTTTCAAACACTTTTCATTATTTTCTCCACATAACTCAAAAACAAAACAGAGTAATTCCCAGAAACATAAAGAAATAAAGAAAGAAAGAGAGAGAAAGAAAGAAGAGAGTCAAACTATAGAGAGAGAGCTTGGCATGCTGTAGCATGCTGCGGACTAACAGGGTGATGCAGGGCATCGTCACCAGTCTGATGGCATACAGCAGAGCTTCTTGAACCTTTTTTCAGTCTGGGACCAAAAAAAATGAAACAAAAATACATTGTTCTGCCTCTCGCGGTGCAGGCACGTTAGACTGTACTCTTGTAATAATATGGGAGGGAGGGGGGAGGGGGGGACCAACACCAGAAATGAGCCAAGTTTGGGTTCCAGTCCGTATAGTTTCAAGGAACGCTGCGTCGGACAGGAAAAACAGCAGCGAACCTCTCTGCCCCGCTGGAAGTTGTTACCGATGGCAACGTGCTCGGCCATCCAGTCAGCATCACGTGGAGGGAGGAGGAGGATGATGCGCGCACATGTTCACACAGTCCGATGAGCGATCATGTGCGCGCATGCTAACAGACACAGGCTGGTTGGTATGAGAGACACACACACACACACACACACACACACACACACACACACACACACAAACCCGGTGTCTTCATTTGGCTATAAAAACAAATTGTGACTGGTGTTTATGTCTGTCTGTCTGTCTGTCTGTCTGTCTGTCTGTCATTGAGGGTCTGGGGTCGTTGGAGGAGAAGCTGATAAACGGAGGCGGTAAATCCTGACTTTGATCCTGGCCACTGCTCGCTACCACGCCACAACCTATACCTGCATCATTTCACCAAAATCCTTCCAAACACTTAATTCCTGCCAAGCCACTCGGAGCATCACTCACACACTCTGCGATCGGTTTCATTTAACTCAGCAAAGACCAATCGCAGCCCGTAAGAAGATTTCTTTTTGACTCTGCTGTTTTGTCTCAGCATCATGGGTACCAAATAGCCTCCTATCCAGACACTGCTCCAATCAAAACGCAGCACGTCACATGTGCTTCTTAAAGCTTTTTTCTTCTTCTTCTTCTTCTTCTTCTTCTTCTTCTCCTTGCTTTCAGATTCAACTCACGACTAAGATATGACAGTACAAATGCATGCATTTTTGTACTTTTATCAATTTGCACTACAAAAGCAAGGCAGGTGGCGACAAGCATTTTTTTAGTTTTCAGACATCTTGCAAGTATAGTATAAAAGATGTTGCCGCTGTCTTCAGGTAATGTGTTTGACAGAAGCAGTGGGGAGACACTGATTTATCAGTATGACATTTGAAGCCATATTTCTGGTGTTACACATACAGGCTGGGCTCCGGTGGATGCAGTACTTCCTCCGAATACCTCTGCCACTGGTACAGTAGGGTCAGCGCTCTGCCGAGGACAGGGCCTATCTTGAACCACCACCACCACTGACTCAGAGGGAGCTCCGTCCTCTGACTGGTGCGTGTGGAGGTGGGAAGAGAGTGGGAGGGGAAGGGACGTCAGTTAATGCAAAGAGCTAGATGTGGATGAGCGGCGAGCAGCTCTCGTGAAGTTCACGAGAAGCGCAAAAGGCCACGGAGCTACTTGGGGAGACCACGCACGCTGCAATTCAAACACACATTGTATGGGGGAAAAAACGCTCACATTCTGCTCAAATAAACCCATTTCAAGCACGTGCACATCATACACGTGATGGAGAATGAGAGGAGATAGATATCAGAGCGCGGGGACGGATGATCGAGACGGATGTGGTGAAAGCAATGACTAGCCAGCTCACATACACGCACACGCACACACACACACACACACACACGCACACACACACACACTTTGAACCATCAGTAACAACATCCGGGCCAGGCGGAGGAACCAAAGAGGCAGGAGTTATATAAAGAGGGCTGGAGGGTTACAAAATAAAGAATATATTCATCAACATATCGTACATGAGAGAAAACAAAATGTTAATAAATAAATTGTAAGTTACAAATCTGTTGAAAACTATGATTTGAAGATGAAAAGTCTGTCTCGTCAGTCCTGTCTGCACAGTGGAAGCAGACATCTCGCTGTAATGCAGCTCTCAAGGCCCGGGGATCAGACCGGTTCAGCCCACTTGAGTCTTTATGCGGAGCTGTTGGAGCTCATGTAAGTCCACTTTCTGGACTATATCGCCTCCTTACAGTCCAGGACTGGTTTACCCCCTCTTTTGTCCACTTCGCTATGCACTCCAGCATCTCTTTTTCCCGACGGCAGGACCAAACTTAGCTGAGGTTAGCCACGGGTTAGCTACCTTTAGCCCAAATATCGGTGGAGCCCTCAGCCTGTAGCAGTCCTCCTGCTGGGGAACACGAAAGGGGGGGGGGGGGGGGGGGGGGGGGGGTCTGCAGGTTTTCGTCGTAATACTCACATGAAATTTATAGTTCTTGTAGCATAGATAGGCTGACTCTGAAAGCGGTGCTGTCTTTAAATAAAAAAGTGGATAAACAAAATAGCCACTCCAATGTTGAGCAGAATCACCATGACAACCAGGATGGAGCTGTAGGCCTGCGTAGGAGAGAGGAAAGGGGAGAGTGTCAATAATCAGGACGTACACACACACACACACTCACAAGGCTGTTTTCATACAGACAGTATATCCAACCTTCTAATACACACAACTGATCACATTTATAGACATCCATTTACCAAATCAACACATTTCTTATTACCACAGTTGGACATTAATATGATAATAAACATGCTATGCAGTATTAGGGGATTCATTGGAAAGAAAGTAAAAGAAAACGCAAACGTCTAAACCTACTCGTGGTTAAATATAAGGTGGTAAGTTTCTGTGTGTTAACACAATTTAAAGGACCAAACCAATTGTTTCTTTTTAAACATAAAGGTAGAGGATTGTCCTCCATTGTGTTAATGTGTTCATATGAAGTTATCGGTGATTGAAGGGTTCTTGTTGTTGTGTTGAAATAATTTCACACTTTTAATATCACATTTATTGGACCTTGCATAACTGCAGGCACGTCAATAATCCCACGGCTGTCAGGGGGATTCTGGAAACTGTCGCTTCCGCTATAGGAGCCTTTTTTACTGGTTCTGAAAATCATACAGCCCTGGGGTCTATATATATATATATAGAGAGAGATACACACACACACACACACACGCACACACACACACACACACACACACACACACACACACACAATGCTCTAGCAAGGGTTTCACCTGACAGCAGCAATGTTGTCCTTTATTGAATACATGTTGATACTTTACTTTAGTGCTGCTGTGTGGTGCTAAAACTAATGAATCCGGAGTATGAGTTGTCAGCCACAGGGTGGTTGATGGTCTCTTCAGAGTTTGTTTTCTTTCTTTTCTCTATCCAGCCTATATTCCTTTAGAAATAGCATGCAAGTACGAAAACAACTTGCATCTATTCAGCACATTTCAAAACAATGTTGCTCGAGCTGTTTGAAAGATTAAGGGAAAAGCTTGGCAATGTTTCAAATGGAAAAATCCCATTGTTTTTTTGTCGATGGAGCCAGTGTGATGCTAACTTCTGGGGGGTTGTCCTACAAAAATATGTTATCCCTGCAGCACTCTATAGAATAAATGGGGGGGGCAGATCCTTACTAGATATGTCAACCCAATTCCTCAGACAATCTAATAAGATATCCCACTGTACTTCTCTCTCTTGTTATTTGGTTTGTTTTGTGTTGGTGGTTTCTGGAAACATGAATACAAATGGTCACATCTAACACAAATGTCACAAAAAAAAAGCAAGAAATTGTTACGCTGTTTAATATTTG